ATAAAAAAAAAAATCAAACAATGTTCCAACATGTCCAGAAATACTAAAACAATTGTCCCCAGACTATTGTTTGACTATTTTTGAATATTCCCCCTGTAGAGGGACAGAGGCCCGACTTAAAGCTAGGCTATGCCCCGCGAGTGGATACTTCACGTGTCGCTCCGCTGCGTGGGGCGGGTGGCTCTGGGAAGCTCCGCGAGTGGACGCCGCGGGACCGCGAACTTGACAGCGTGTCGCTCCGAGGCGCGGTTGTCCAGACCTGCCTCAGAGAAGGCCAAGGGCTCGCAGCTTCGTGCCTCGCGCTGCGCGAAGCGCGAGAAGAAATAACTTCGCGCTCTCGCGCCGCCTCCCAGGGGAGAAGAGGAGGACGAGGAGGAATCAGAGCCGAACCGCGAAGCGCGAAGCGCGAATAACTTCGCGCCCGCGAGGGCGCCCTTGGTTCTCTGGCTGAGCGCACAGCGCAGGGGCCGAGCACCCGCAGGTCCCGGCGCCCCGCTGAGATCGAGAGGGCACTGCGCCTCCTTGGCTTCGGCCCCTGCCGGGCCGTTGGCGGGCTCTGCTCTGCGCCCCGCGGGCAAGCGATCTTCGGATGGGGTCCAGCGATCCGGGGGCCACTGCCACAACAACAATGTCGGGGGCGTCCAAGAGGGGGGCGTTCAGGGGGGGGGGCTCGCAAATCATGGCCCGAGGCATGTGCGCGGCCCATCGGCGGCCAAGGGACGCATCCGAATACAAAGAGTCGCCATGAAATCTGGAGAGATCTTATGGCCATGGCCATGATACCCTCCCAAACTAGTCGTCCCCCTCCCCCCCTCTCTTGTACGGAGCCGACCTCTATACACCGACGCCTTTTTCCGGCCCCGCACTGACATGCGCACAGGGAAAGCGGATCCAGGTGTATACGGTCCCTGGTACTGTATGCCTTTTTTGATGTTCCCCCCCCGGGAAATGGGAACAATTATCCCAGAACGACCCGACCTAGGAGTTGGAGAATCTAGGAAAGCAACATCTACATCTACACCGACAGCTACATTAACATCTACACCTGCATCCACATCTACATCAACATCAATAGCGAGACGCACATCAGCATCTACATCTACACCTCCATCTACACCTACAACTACATCTACATCTACATCTACATCTACACCTACATCCACATCTACACCTACACCTACATCTACATCAACATCTACATGTTCGCATTGGTCGTGTTTTTGCTTTGCATTGCCTTGCCTTTGCTTTTGCTGTTGCTTTTGCTGTTGCGTTTGCTTTGCTGTTGTACCTGTTGTTGGTTGATGTTGTAGTTTGCTTTGCCTGCGCACAGCTATGCTATGCAATGCTGCGCTATACTATGATATGCTATGCTATGCTATAATGCGCTATGCTATGCTATGATATGCTGTGCTGTGCTATGCTGCGTTATGCTATGTTATGATATGCTATGATATGCTATACTGCGCTGTGCTATGCTAAGCTCAGCTATGCTATGCTATGATATGCTATGCTATGAGTTGCTGCGCTATGCAATGCTATGCTATGGTATGCTATGCTATGCTATGCTATGCTGCGCTGTGCTATGCAGCGCTATGCTATGATATGCTATGCGAATGCTGCGCCAAGCTAAGCTAAGCTGAGCTACACCAAAGCTAAGCTAAGCTAAGCTAGGCTAGGCTAAGCTAAGCCAAGCTAAGCTAAGCTAAGTCAGGCTAAGCTAAGCTAAGTTAAGGTCAGCTAAGCTGAGCTAAGTTAAGCTAGGCTAAGATAAGATGATATAAGCAACTCTAAGCTAAGGGAACGTCACTGGGGGAACCGCGGGGCGGATGCCGGGGGAACCGCCCCGGGCGTGGAACACTGCCCGGCCCTTTAAGCTTACCGAGTAAGAACCCTTCTAGGCAGAGCCTAGGTAGGAATAAACCTGAGCTAAGATGAAGCTAAGCTAAGCTAAGATGAAATAAGCTAAGCTAAGATGAGATAAGCAACGCTAAGTTTAGGGAACGTCACTGGGGGAACCGCGGGGCGGATGCCGGGGGAACCGCCCGGGGCGTGGAACACTGCCCGGCCCTTTAAGCATACCGAGTAAGAACCCTTCTAGGCAGAGCCTGGGTAGGGGAAAATATACACCACACCACCCGACGTCGTCCCCGACTCTGGGATTGAAAAACAGCCCGCCACTGGTAACGTATATGTTCAGGGATCTTCTGATCTTCTGACCCGGGTAAATCCAGACCCGGGTCAGCAGGAAACCGAAAAACTGCAATGCAGGAAAAACAAGCTGCAACGCAGGTCCTCGCAAACCCAAGTTAGCCAATGTGCGCGGCCGCCTCGCGGCCACGAGCGGCTCGCTGACCCGGGTCAGCCAGGGGTAGTCTCCGCAGGATCCTGCAGGATCCGGTGCCCTGGCTGACCCCCGTTTGCATTGACCCCGCTGGCAGGTGCCGGCCCAAACCGCGCTCACCGACACCACACCCCACGCCCCACGCTGGCTGCACGACAGCCAGAGATCCCCCCTCCGTCCTCCCTGCTCTCACCCCTTCGGCCCCAGCTCCCTTGGAGGCCTCCTGAATGGGGTCCGAGTAGATGGGGTCGGAGGATCGCGCCGCATCGTCGATACATCGGCGATGCATCGGCGATGCACCGGCGATGCATCTGGATGATTCATCGGCGACGTCGGCGTGGAGGAAATCGGGCTCCGCATCGACCTGTATCGCCGATACATCGGCGATGCGGACGGATCCTTCGACCCCATCTACTCCGACCCCATCTGGGAGGCCTAGATCCTTCCACTCCTCCTCGTCATCCTCTCCCTGCTCCCCGCTCCTCCCGTCCCCGCCTCCCCCCAGTTTCTACTCCTCCTGCTCCTCCGCCCCCTGCCCCCCCCCCTTTGCCACCGCACACCTGCGCATCGCTCCCACCCTCCTCCTCGCTCCCGACCTCCAGGACGTGCACATCTAGCCCGGTGCAGCCCAGGTGACGGCAGAGTGGGCGACGGAGGGCAGTCGTTCGCTGAGTCGTTCCCTTCCCCCCATCCCCCTCCCTGTATGTTTTCTCCTCGCCTACCCTTACTCCCCTGGGAGGACAGGGGAGTGGAGACTGGCGGGGGCGTGTGAGGCAGGGCGAAAGAAGGAAGGAGGGAAAGTAGATGTAGGAGGAGCGGAGAACAACGCTCACACAGCAAGTCAGCTAAGCAGCTAGAGCACGGCTGGAATTCGGCCCGTGCAATTAGACAGCGAAAAGGAGCGGACCATCTTCCGTCCATGACGTCTGGAGCCGCTCGAATCAGCCGAGAACGCGTGGTTCAGAACATGCCCGCTATCAAGGATGGACGATTATTCCGTCCATCAGCATGGTACTGCCTGACTCGCGGAACAAGGATCGCCTGGACGACAGGGGCTCAGGGGAAGAGGGGGCCGAGTAGGGTGTCTTCCTGATGCGGCCCCTTCCTCTTCGTATCCTGATCTCTCCCCCTTCAGCTGTTCAAGCTCCTGCTCGTTCTTCCTCGTGACTCACCCCATCTTCCTCTCGCTACCTCCCCGCCCTTTCTCAACGTCCCTCCCTGCTCATCCCCCCTCCCCCCTTGTCCCCCCAGGTGCTCCTTATCCTCCTTCTCCTCCTCCTATCCTCCTCCTCCTCCTCCTCCTCCTCCTCCTCATCATCATCATCATCATCCTCCTCGCCCTCCTCCTCCTCCTCCTCCTCCACCCCATCTTCCTCTTCATGCCCATCCCTCCCTCCGCCCCGCCCCCCTCCCCTCCGTCCTCTTTACCCCTCCATGCTCCTCCCGCACGCTCCCAAGATGGGGCAGGCACGGGTGGAACACCGATACAGCGAGGAGCACGTCAGGGCTGCCACGCAACAACCAGGTCGGGAACGTGAAACGGTTCCCATCGCTAGCATCACGGCGCTGCAAAAGCGGGCCACTAACCTTGCACAGACCCTTCGTACTATCTAGGAACAATCGAGCCCTCTACTGGACAGGTTCCAACGAGCTCAGTCCGCCTGGAGCGACCTGAACCAAGCCGTCCGTCCGACCGCCTCTCTCGGTGTCACTCTACAGAGAAGCCTCCAGGCGCACATCGAAGCTCACCGCTGGCACACCAGTGCTAGCCTTTCCTCTCTCGAGTGCGCTGCGAAAACAACTGGCGACTGTTCCGCGGCCTCTGCACTGGGCCGCTGCGGGGGATGTCCCAGGGCGGCGCCACGGTTCGCTGAGGCGCCGAGGCGCGCACGCCCAAGCGCGCTCCAAGCGCCGGCGCCTTTTGCCCGGGTGTGCAGACGGCGCGTACCACGCCCTGGTCGCCGCAGACCCGCTGTTCTGTCTGGCGGGGAGGCTTTTCTATGGTCCGCGCCAACAGGGGAGGATGCTTTTTGTCCCCACCCCTGTTCGATCTGCGGCACATCCCGCCAAAGTGAGGTAATCAGGCCTGAGCGGCAATCAAGCACCGCTAGGCTTGGACGAACCGCCGTCCGAGCTGTTGCGCCGTCCTGCTTCTCCTCTGCCCATCCCTCCTCCTCCCTGCCCCCCCCCCTCCGCCCTCTCTCCCCCCCCTCTTCCTCCCCCCCCCACTCCCCCCTCCTCCTCCCCTCCCCTCCCCCGCTCCGCCCTCGCCCCCCTTCGAGTTGCTTCGAGCTCTGGGACTGTCTGTGCTCTCGCTCCTCCTCCTCCTCCTCCTCCTCCTCCTCCTCCTCCTCCTCTCCTCCTGCTCCTGCCCTTGCCCTGCTCCTGCTTGCTCCTGCTCCTCCCCTGCTCCTCCTCCTCCTCCTAATCTTCCTCCTCCTCCTCCTCCTCCTCATCCTCCTCCTCCTTCTCCTCTGGCCGCCCCGCTGGCCCCCCTCGGCCCCCCCTGCAGACCAGCGTCTCCCCACGCCCCCCCGGCCAGCCAGTGGCGGCGACAGCCCGCAGCGCCCCGCCGGGGGGCGCCGCACCGCTCCGTGCGCGGCCTGCGCGCCGCCCAGGGGTGGCGCGATGCCTGCGCGCGCCCGCGGGAGCCGCCCCCTCAGGGGGCGCCCGGCCTGCGGTGCGGCGGCAAGTCCTCGGGCCTACAGAAGAGGGCGTCCGCTCATATCATCATCATCATCATCATCATCATCATCATCATCATCATCATCATCATCATCATCATCATCATCATCATCATCATCATCATCATCATCATCATCATCATCATCATCATCATCATCATCATCATCATCATCATCAGCATCATCATCATCATCATCATCATCATCATCATCATCAGCATCATCATCATCATCGTCATCATCATCATATCATCAGCATCATCATCATCATCAGCAGCATCAGCATCATCATCATCATCATCATCAGCATCAGCATCAGCATCACCATCATCATCAGCATAATCATCATCATCATCATCAGCATCATCATCAGCATCATCATCAACATCATCAACATCTTCATCATCATCCTAATCCTCATCAACATCATCAGCATCAGCATCAGCATCAGCATCATCATCATCATCATCATCATCATCATCATCATCATCAATCATCGTCATCGTCATCGTCATCATCACCAGCAGCAATCATCATCAGCATCATCATCATCAGCATCATCATCAGCATCAGCATCATACTCATCAGTATCATCATCAGCATCATCATCAGCATCGTCATCACCATCATCAGCATCAGCATCATCATCAGCATCATGAGCATCAGCATCATGAGCATCAGCATCAGCATCATCATCACCAGCATCATCATCATCATCATCGTCATCATCATAATCTTCATCATCAGCATCAGCATCAACGTCATCAGCATCATCATCAGCATCATCATCAGCATCATGAGCATCATCATCATGATCATCATCATCAGCATCATCATCATTAGCATCATTATAATCATCAGCATCATCACCACCACCATCATCATCATTATCAGCATCACCACCACGGCCTGCAGAAGAGGACGTCCGCTCGGAGCACGTACTTGGTGCCCGCGAACACCTCCGTCTCCTCCTGCACGGCGCAGTGCTCGCCCTGGTGCAGGAGGGCCGAAGAACCACCCCCGCGGTCAGCACCCCGACGGGCCGGCGAAGCCGTTTCGCCGCCGCGCCCGAGGAGGGGATCGTGCAGGGCGGGGCGCCTCTCAGTGAACGCCAAGGGCTGTTTGGTGAACGTCCGCTGTGGAGGTCCGGGTGTTTCTTACGCCTCTGATCCGCCCCTACGGGTAGAGAACCCACACATTGGCACGAACACACAACTTGTCGAAAGTCCGCACGGATCTCTTGGGTCAGCGCTGGCCCACCCTGGCGGCGCCGCCCTTGGCGCGTACCGCGCGCCTTGGAGGGGGATCCAGCCGCCCGTCCAAGAAATCCGCGCGGACCTCGCACAATCTACAGTCATCGGGCTACCACGCGGAACGCTGAGTAAGGTACGAAAGGGCTGTTCTGGCCAAGCCAAGCCTAGGCCATGAATCGGCTCCCAGATCTAGACCGAAGGAACGGCCAGAAAACCAGAGCCCGTCCTGAGTCCCAAGTTTTCTCTTTCGGAGGGGAGGAGTGGGAACGGATATCACAGCACGATGACAAATTCGCCGACACACGCGGAAAACCACGAAGCCACCTCAAAATGCCGTGCCCTCGAAAAAAATTGAAGCGTCAAGCCACGAAGAAAAGCTGTCCTACAAACGATAACTGCTGAAACGGACGCTTTGCGGCAGCAGGCGCGAACCAGAGAGGAATGCGCGCGAGAAAATGAAACACTCGAAATCCAGGGGCACTGGATGCGGACATGGGCGAACCCGTAGCGTACACTACGAGAAGGAGGAAGAGGAGGGAGAGGAGGAGGCGGAGGAGGAGAAGAAGGATGAGGAGAGAAGCACCGACCTGGAGCAAATAATCACCGTGCGAATGCAGGCCGATACAACAACAGGCCCCAATTTGCAGCAGCGGCGCCTGGACGGCAGGGGGAACAGGAAGAGCCAGGAGCAACACAGCGTGCGGGTGAAGTGCCCATAATCCCAAACGCTCCCCCCCTCCTGAGCCACAGGTGGTCCCTATTTGAACATCCTGACTGTCTTCTGATGCTGCTTCCTCTCCTTCGGCCTGGGGGTAGAGGAGAGCCAGGCCCGTCTCGGGCTCGAAGACGACGGGCTCCTGCCGGAAGGGCACGTGGAAGGCGCTCATGCCGCCCTCAAACCACCGCTCCTCCCTGCCGTTGAGGAAGACGCGCAGCGAGTACTTGGACACCTGGGAACCACAGCAGAAACACAGACCGTCGGAGCGCCACGCGGATTTTTCTTGGATCTGCGCCGGCCCCCCCGCCCTGGCGCGCGGCGCGCGCCGGGGACGGCGTCGGGGGCGCCGCCAGGGGGTCCAACGCCGATCGAAGAAATCCACGAGCGGTGCTCTGAAAGTTTCTGCTTCAGCAAGCTGGCTTCTCCGAGCCTTGCCGTCCGCCCGCTTCACGTACTGGTCGGTGTGCCTCCCGAACAGGCAGCCCTGCCCGTACTTCTGGATGCGGATGACCTCGTTGAGCCCGCACGGGACGAGGCCATCGACAGAGATGGTCCGGAAGAACCACCCCAGGCCGCACAGAGACCAGATCGCCTCGGCAAAGTCGCCGTCGACGATGTCGACCCACTGCATGTTGAGCACGCGGGCGCGCTGCTGGACGCTGAACCGGAGGGTCTCCGCGTAGTCGACGATCTTGCGGCACTCGGGCGTGCTGAAGATCGGCGGCGAGCCCGGGGGGGGGAAGTGAGAAGGGGCGGGGCGTCTAAGAGGGCCCAGAAGCCCCCCGGCCTTCTGAGAAGTTGTCTGAGCCTCCCTCGAAGACGCAGAGCACCTCCCAGAAAACGCAACAAATTTCCGAGAAGCCCCGCCGCCGTCTCAGGAGGCAGGGAAGCGAACTCTATATACACCGACGCTTCCCCCGACCCTGCGCTGAAATTCGCACAGGAACGCGGATTCTGGTGTATACGGGGTCCTGGTGTATGCATGTTTCGCTGTTTCCCCAGGAAAACAACGAAAAACGTATACACCACACCACCCTGACGTCGTCCCCGACTGTCAAAAAAAACCTGGAGTTGAAAAACCGCCCGCCACTGGTAACGTATATGCTCCAGTCTCCGAGGAGGCCTCCTCCCTCTCGCCTCCCCCCTCGCTCGCCGCCGAGAAGAAGTTGGGGACCCCCACGCAGTCGACGCTCTGGAAGTACACCGGCTCGGGGAACCTCTGCTCCTCGAGGACGTTGCCGATGGGCGCGGCGGGCCGCTCGGGCGCCGCCGGCGGCTCCTTCTCCTTCTTGGGCCTCTCCTTCTTGGGCAGCGTGATCTCCATGTTGATCCGCATCCCATCCTCGGGCGCGGCCAAACCGACCCTCGGCTACACGCAAGAGTGACCCTGGGCAAGAGTGACCACTGGTGCGCGGCGAAGCGGGGGCCGCCAGGGGGCCAGACACAGGCGCGCAAGCCGTCGCGATCGCCTCGCACTCGGCGAAGTTCGGCGATTGGGGGGCCCCACTGGGCCGGCAACGGAGGTCACTCCGGCCAGGGGTCACTCGCACGTGGAGCCGGGCCCCCTAGCAAACCACCCCTCTCCGTGACGCCCCCCTCGCCTAGCAGGCCTCCCTCCGGCCACACACGTGCGTCATGGGGCGAGGCGCGGGGCTCACCTCGGAAGGGGATGGCTTGCGAGGGGTCGGTTGGGCAGCCGCTGGCGTCCGCGTCCATCGTCACAGTGCCAGCCCCAGCGTCGGCCGCGGCCACACCGGGAATGTTCCACACGGACACCATGGCTCCCCAGGGCGCGCGCTGGCTGCGGGCAACCAGAAAGCCGCACGGGCAGACACAAACACACACAAACACACACACACAGAGACAGACACAGACACAGACACAGACACAGACACAGACACAGACACAGACACAGACACACACACACACACACGCACACACACACGGACACACACACACACACACTGACAAATAGACAAACAGACACAAACAGACACACACACAGACACACACACACACACACACTCAAACAGACACACACACACACACACACTCAAACAGACACACACACACACACACACACACACACACGCGCGCACGCACGCACGAACACGCACACGCACACGCACACGCACACGCACACGCACACACGGACACACGCACACGCACACATGAACACACTCACACACACACACTCACACACACATACATCAGGACGACGGACGCCACTGCCAGTCACCTTGTGACCTGAACAGGAAAGGCATCAAACACGCATGACGACCGAGAAGGCTTCTCCGCTGGCGCGGGCGGGAAGCCTGGCGACGGTGAAGAGAAGCCGACGGCGGACGTCCGACCATGCGGCTTTCTGGTTGGTTGCACCTGACACCGATGCCGAGCCTGGCCCGGTTGGCACGCGGTCCGCCCTGGCTGCGGGCCAGGCCAGCGAAGACTATGCACCGATGACGCGGCGAAGCGGCAACGCCACCAGGCAAGGGGGGGGGCTCAGGTGGTGTGGTGTTAGGTCGGGCCTGTCCCCCTACAGGGGGCTTTTGGACGAAAAATTTAGAAGTACTCGAAAAATACTCAACAGATGCCCAAACACACTCAAAACATAGCCCCCAGACTATTTTTGGACCATTTTTGAGTACCCTCCCTGTAGAGGGACACGCCCGACATAAGTGTGGTGTCGCCGTGTCCCTCGGGGTCCCCTGATCGGGAGCGGCCAAGAGGGAGGTGTCCAAGAGGGGGGGGTGCAAATCATGACCGGCGGCATGTGCGCGCCCCAGCGGGGGGGCCAGGGACGTAATGGAATAAGAAGGGGCGCCATGAAATCTGAGGAAAAATCATGGCCCACGCCATGAAATCCACCCCCCCCTAGTCATCACCCCCCTCTTTTCCGCTCCCGACCTGACGGAGGGGCGACAACCGATGCGGTGATCCCGGTACGCCCCTCGACCTCCCCGCGCAGACCGTGTCCGCGCACGGCTCTGGAGCCTCGGACCTCGGAACCCCCAGCGCCGCCCGGAGAACGCCCCTTGGAGAACGACGCGAGCCCCAAAGCCGTGCTGGCTCACCATGTGGTTAGGTCGGGCCTGTCCCCCTACAGGGGGACTTTGGACGAAAAATAACAAAATACCCAACACATGTTCAACAGATGCCCAAACATAGACAAAACATGGTCCCCATATAATCATTGTTGTACTATGTTTGAATATTCCCCCTGTAGAGGGACAGGTCCGACATAACCATATGGTGTGGTCACCGCTGCGTGTGGGGGCCCCGAGTCTCGGCACCTTGCCCGATACACCTCAGACCTCCCGCCCGGGGTGGGCACTGTGGACCCCAGCGCCAGGGGTGCCCCTTCGGCCAGGGCTCGTTCCTCCGATTAGATGGGCACAAACATTCTGCTCGAAACTGATCTACAGACCGCTCCGGAGGTCCAGCCTGACGGGTTTCTCTGGCCGCTTCAGCCGCGGCGACGAGAACCGCCAGGAGCGTGCTCGAAGACCCCCAGAGCGACGACGACGACGCCGTCGACGACGGCCCAGCAGGCCTGGCGTCGGCTCGGACTTCGAGGCCTCGAGCTCCCGCTCGTTTGAGGCAAAGCGGCTCCGCGCGTGCACACGGCCCCTCGGCCGGGGACGCACTCCACCCCGGGCCAGCGCCGAACGGGGCCCGCCAGGGCCACGTCCCGAGCCGCGAGTTGCTGGCCCCGGAGCAGCCGAGGTCAGTGGAGGGGAGGAGGGGGGCCTCCTCCTCCTCCTCCGCCTCCGCCTCCTCCTCCTCCTCCTCCGCCTCCTCCTCCTCCTCCTCCTCCTCCGCCTCCTCCTCCTCCTCCTCC